CAGCAGATCTGCCGGGGCAGCCTTTCCTGCCAGAGCCTCCGCTTCCTTGGGAGGGCCACGACACCAGGGCGGCAGCCGCAGCAATCCGCACCTCCTGCACGGCGCCTAAGAGGATGGGGCTGCCTGGTTTCCAGCCTGCAGCAGGTACAGTGGTGCTGGGGGCAGCCGAGCCCTGGGGCAGACCCCATGAGCACCTTGCAGATGTGCCCTGGGACCATGGAGCTGCACTGGTCACCTGTGCCTCAAAGCAGAGCATCTCCTGTGGTGTGTGAGCTGCTGCAGGCCTGTCCCCCGTGTCCTGCCTGCAGCACCCTGCAGCTTCTGAAAAGCCACCGTGGGCTGGGGAAAGGTTATTGGCGAGCAGCACACTGAAGAACGGGTTTGAACTTTGGGATAACAGATGCAGTTGGGCTCGACGTGTGCAGAAAGCACCTACCTCCCCTTAGAGCAGACCCAGCAATCAGGGCCGTGCTTGGCAGTGGCTCTCGGGTTGCACTGAAACAATGTGTTGTTGCTTTTTGGGAAACTCTGAGTCAGCCTGACCTCAAGCAGCTTTTAAAAGAAGCAACCCAGAAGCCTCCCTGAGTGCGGTGAGCCTCCTTTGAAGGCGCTCTGCACAGAGACCAAGAAAAGGGTTTCATTTCACTTTATAACGTGTTTGGTGACACGGGAGTTTGGGGCAATAACCTGTTCCTTGCAGCTAGCTGGCTGGGGCTGCGGAGGGAGAGGAACGTGGCCTTTGGGGCTGCTCTGCACAGAAATGCAGTGGGGGCAGAGGGTGCACGTGAGAGCTGCAGGTGGGTGGTGCATAGGATACAGAAGCTCCCCAGGCCTGGGAGCAAGCCCCAGGTGCGGTGGGGATGCAGCTGGGCAGCTCCTACCCCCGTCGGATCGAGGGACTGCATCTGGGCACAGCTGGGAGTCCAGCGTCCTGCCGGGCTGCAGAAGTGCTGAGTTAAAGTGGAAACTTTGCTGGGGCCTGACACAGCTGGGGCAGTTAGAATGACATTAGAAAGCATTTCTAAAAATGGAAGTGTGAAAAAGGGCCAGGATTAGACCTGCAGTGACAGTTCTGTGGTGCCAGGGCATAAGGCGGAGCTGCCAGCTGGAGAGAGGCTTGAGGTGCTGCTGCGACCTGGCACTGCTGCCCTGCTCGCACCTTTGTGTGGGGCTCCAGCACACTACAGGGGGGATTAAAGTTGGGTCCCTGCAGGCCTTTTTACACTGGCCTGGATCCTTGGTGTCTTCAAGGTGGCTGCAGTGACAGCACCAGATCATCCTGGTGCAGCGGCTCTCCGGGACCTCCGCATCACTGCGTGCACGGCAGAGCAGTCACGCAAAGTCTTTCTTGGCTCTCCAGGCTGGCATGCTGGGGAAACAAGTATTTTAAAACAGAATAAAACCAAAAAGTGAACCTAAGGAGAGATGATCTTGCCAGGGCTATGTTCCTGGTATCAGAGCCATTTCAGCACCCAGAGGAATTACCGTGCTGCTGTGGCTTTCGCCTCCTCACAGGCCATTGCTCTCTCAAATAGCCTCTCCAAATGACTTCAGACCCCGCTAGGAGTTTATCTTAACTCTTTTAAAGCTGCTGCGCAGCCGTCTCTCCTGCCAGGCTCAGGGAAATCCTGCACTTCTCCGCCCAGGCTGGAGCAGGAGTCGTTGGGCAGTGGCTCCGTGTTTGTGCTCCGCTCTCCCAAGGGAAGCGCCACGGAGGCGAAGTGTCGGCTTAGACACAGCTTTGCACCCCATCCCCGAGCATCCTCCACCAAGGTGCTGCTCTCTGCTCTGCTGCTGCACGGGAGCCCGGCTCTATCCCGCTGCCCAGCTGCTTCCTTCTGCCCCGTGCAGTGAGGTCGGTGTTCCAGGGAACAGCGGTTACAGTAACCCTGTCTGTCAGACAGATGAATTACTGCCAATTAGCCATGCTTTCCCCAAACTGCCCTTTATGGTTCCTTGTTCTGCTGCATCGAAACCTCTTTGTTTATATAGCTCTGCAGGTGATGTTTCTAGACAATGTTTCTCTATAAAAATATTTTGCTATAATTTCAGAGTTGCTCCTTTCCGTGGTCAGTACAATCCTGGCTTGGCACAGTGTCATTGAACTTCACAGGGAAGGAACAGTGCCTGATGTGAGAAGGTCTAAAGGAGGTGGGGAGGGAGGGGAAATATTGGGTTAAGAGCAGCCACAGGGCTGGGCCCGTCCTTCCCACTTGTCCCAGCACAGTTTTCCAGGCCCTGGGCAGTTTGCTGGAGCTGTGCTTGTGGGCCGGCTCCAAGCCTCGGCAAACGGGACTTGTGTTTTCCTACTGCAGCAAATTGCTTTATTAGGACGCCCAGGACCAGGCCTGCCTGCTCCCAACTCTGTGGTTAAAATTAGCAGAGGCTCTGCTGGGAAAACCAGTGGTGCCAATGGCTGGCGAGGGGTATCCAGAGAAGTGCTGTGGGTGAATGCGGATGAGGCAGCATGAGGGTGGCTGGTTGGGGCTGCTGGGCGACTGAAAACATCTGCAAAGTGCGGAAAATCTGCAAGGAAGCTCAGCAGTGCAGAGGCTCTGCTGCATGCCGCTAAACAGGGACGAGTTGGAGGCAGAAGCTGAGCCCTGGCGTCCTGGCCCGCCTCCAGCAGTCCTGCTCTCGCTGTCTCGTGCTCCCGTGGCCCATCCCATGGCTGCTGGCCTGGCTCCTGCCCCGCTCCAGCTGCACATGAAAAGCCATCCTGCCATCGCAGCTCTCCCTGCTGCGATGAAAACGTGGACTCTGCTGCTGTGGGGGAGCCGTCCACGTGCATGGCCCGGTGGCTACCTCTGCAGAGGCAGTTTTCTGTGCTCCCTCCAGCCCACCACACTGGGGGAGTTGCCCGGGCACTGCTACAGCTGATGTTTTATGGAGACGTTTTACTGCGTGCAGCAGATAATCAGAGGCGAGCACGGGGTAGGGTCAGAGGAGACCCAACCCCGATTACAAGTGCTCGGTGCCTGCCTCTCTCACTGCACAGTAACCGACAGCTTTATCGGGTTATCTCTTAGCATTAAAGAGATTTGACGTTGTCCAGCTCCTCTGTGCTGCTCTGTATCTCTTGACTCGTCTGAGTAATTGCCTTGAAATGCCAGGGCTGGTTTATTTTCTTTTTGTGTTTTACTGGAAATGGTGAAATGAGTGTATGGTGCCATTATGCTACAATTTGCCATTATTGTCTGTGAAGCTGATTTCCATCCAAGATGCATTTGAGCGATTAGGGAA